GACATAATTTTGCCTTTGATTTGTTTGTAACTTGATGGATCATATAATTTGCGTTTTAAGAAGTATTCTTGTATTAACTGTTATTTGTGTTTAATTTCATTCTCAACCTACATGGCATCATAGATGCTCATAGAAACAGGGTTTCTTTGTATTTCTAATTGTAGATGATGTTAAGGCATCAATATCAGCGCTAGGGTACAGTTCCTGCACGCTGGTAGGTCATGATTGGGGAAGTGTCATAGCCTACACTTGTTGCTCTTGGTATCCAGATATTGTTGACAAAGTAATCATTATTAATGGGCCACATCCATCAAGATACTTTGAAGTTTTAAAAACAAATCCAACGCAGTTCCTGAAGGCTTGGTAATTTACACATTCATTTATTTCACCATATTGTCATACATTATAACATTTATTTTTGGAAAAAATATAAAACATTTTTGTTTACTGACTCACAATTGCTCAAAACATAAAAGAAATCAAAGTTTATGTAACTGCCTCAGAATAAAATATACATAGTATAAATTAAAACATAACAGAAGAGGATTCTGATAACGAAAGAAAAAAACACAGCCTCCACCAGGACCGGAACCAAAGACCTTTCGCATACATGGTGAATGTCCACGAAGGCATTGTTGTGATTTAAGCGCCAGGTAGAATCTCAGTTCCTTTCTTTCTGTACATGTGTCCGACGATTTTTATATAGCACTAATTAGACTGCCAGAAATCTGCCCTCTTCTGTGCATTATTTTCAGCTTGCTCGAATAGGATGTATAATAATAATTATAATAATAGTTAATTCTTATATAGCGCAAGTAAGCAAGCTCTCAATGCATCTGTACATAAAAAACAGAATAAGGATGTTATGTTAAATTAATGAAAAAATTGATGGAAAAGGAAAGTCTTTAGCTTAGTTTTAAAAGAGTTTAAAGTAACACACCGTCTGATGGAAATTGGTATGAAGTTTCACAAAGTTGGAGCAGCGACAGCAAAAGCTCTCCCGCCATAGGTGGATGCTCTAGTCTTTGGAACGAGCTGACATTTGGCACCTGAACTAAGAGCTCTTGTGGGGAGTGGTAAATCTGCACAAGCTCAGATAGGTAACCAGGCGTCAGATTGTGCTGTGCCTTGTATGCCAGGACTAACACTTTGTATTGTATCCATTGCTGCACTGGTAACCAATGAAGGTCTGCAACTAGCACTTGGGAGATGTTATCAAATTACACACCTTGATGTTAAGTGGGCAGCAGTATTTTGTAGGCGTTGCAGGATCTTCACCCGGTTCTACGGAAGACCAATGAAGAGTGCATTACAATAATCAAGCCTTCATCCGACAAAAGCATGCACAAGCTTCTGTGTACTTTGTTGTATATAATATATATAAAATATTTCTGTATATACACATATCTTATTCGAGATTCAAGAGAGTAATGCACAAAAGAGGGCTGTATAATTATGTTCAGTATATATAATCCATTGATTTTCTTTTAGGTACATTTTTTTCTTCCAAATTCCTCTCCTGCCAGAGTTTGCTCTATCAGTTGGTGACTTCCCAGTTTTCAAGAATTTATTCAAAAATATAGACTTAACAGATGAACAAGTTGAAGTATACAAATACAGTATGTCAAGACCTGGTGTGTAAAAAATATAATTATATAATATAACATATTTTTTCATGTGAAAAATGTAATATTGATATTGAATAACAATATCAACATGCTTTTTATGGGGTGCTAACAATAGTATGGCAAGTATATTCTCTCTTGGCAATCCTAAATGATTTATTACACAAGACTGTGTTTATGCTGACTTTATTCTTCACTACATGTGACCTGATGAAGCCAGCATAGATTGCTGGCAAATGCGTGAGTAATAAATGATTTAAGCTGGTTAGTAAAGTGCTACTAATGTTTCAAATATACTGTGATATATTAAACATGGTCAACTAGTTTATAATATTTAATTGCCACGGCAGGTGAACAGTGTAAATTTTAATTACAAATGAAAAAGGGTTTTGGGTTTTGGTTTGTATTTTTGTCTTTTTTTTTACACTATATTTATAGAGGGTGACCCTTCCAGCTTAGCTGATGTCCAGGGGGCCCTCTTAAATAAAATAAAATCAAAATAATAATAAGATGCTTCATAAACTTAGCTTCATATGATGCTTCAGTAGTGGCAATGTTTTTTTAGGTGAGAAAAAATCCTGTTCAAAATGAATGTGATCAACTATTTTTCCTTTTTTAGGTGCAATTTCAGCTCAAATAAACTACTACCGAGGTTTGCTTACGTCATCCTCGTCATCGTGGTTGCACAAGGATATTGTTGTTAACACACCCACTCTCTTGATATGGGGTGTTAATGAGGAAGCTATGGTAATGGATGTTACAAAAGGATTAAAGAAATACTTAACAAATGTTTCTAAACAGTATGTCGATGCTGGCCATTGTGTCCAACAGGAAAAACCTAGCGATGTAAACAGATTAATGAAGGAATTTCTTGAAGAATAAGAAATTATTCTTGCCATTCCCAGAACTTTTACTATTTTATATATTTGGATAAAAAACATAATGTTACTTAACTTTAAAATTTGAATGCGGCGCCCCTGCTAAACCGCTCAGCCAATTAACTCCCCATGCTCGCTTATAGAGATAACATAAAGTTAATTTGGGAACCATAGAAAAGTGGTCTTTAATTAGATGTCCCATAGTTTGTCTTACATTATAATTTGATCTTATATCATATTATCCTATTCATTGGATTTTTATTTATTTTAATTTCTATCCACACTATCAGGTTTTATGTGATAAATATCTGTGATATGCTTAATGTAAGGGGCGGACTTTTTCCCCTTTTTGAAGGTGAAAAAAGTGGTTGGGGTTGGGGGGATGTAGAAGAAAGAAAGAAAAAATCGATCGCCTAAAACGCCTCAAAGGGCATGCCCCCGGACCCCCTAGGGAAGTGTTACCTTGATCGGCCCCCCTTTTGGACATCATCTGGATCTGCCCCTGTATATGGGTATGATATGACATCATCAGGTCCTCAGTGAAAAATGTGATATTAAATTAAATTAAACAATTTTTTTTTTCTCTGTAGCTAATGATGTGAAATGAAACAATATATATAAATATATTCTATGTATATTAATTACAAAAATTCTGTCTTTTTGTATTATTGATTTTGTTCTTTCCAAGTATACACAAGGCCAAGTAAAAAAAAAAGTAGTTTCTCGTCCTAATATTTTGAAAAAGGAGAATGAAGTACTCCGAGATGGCAAATCCTATATGGTCGATGGGAAACAGCTCTACTACTTTCTCACTTTCACCAAGTAGACACATTCCAAAGCAAATAAAAGAACCACTGATAATAATGTAATTTATTAGAACTTCTCTTTTAGAACAGGGGCACTCGTTAAATCACATACGAAATGTACAGTAAAACATATCTTAATTAAAAAATAATAAGCTAAAAAGTTAAGGTTGGAAGTTAAAAAAAGCATTTAAATTATCAAAGGAGAATTGCATGTGTTTTCATCAGGTAACAAAATGGGAATGGTAAAACAGAGTAGTGGATTTAAAATTGCTAAAAATGTTAAATAAAACTATTAAAACAACAGTAAAATCATTGTTTAATACCTTCTAAAACACTAAATTTCTCTTTGGATGACTTAAAATGATTTAAATTTACGTGGGACTATCAATTTGTACTGGTGGTATTTAACATTTTTGTTCATGCTGACCATTCTCTTATTAGGTAATTCTTACAAAAGTTGTCAAATATAATTTTAATTCTATCTTTCTTAAAATGATGAGATTAATAAAATGTATTGCCGAGCATTAACAAAAGCTTTGAATTGATGTTTCCGGATATAAAACATTCTCAATGGACCTTTCCGCTAAGCTCCGCCCCTTGGATATTGTTGCTAAGGTCACACACTGTCTCTTATACACATCTAGATGTGTATAAGAGACAGTAAATACACATGCACATATATACAGTATATATATGTGTATATGTATGTATATATATATATATATATATATATATATATACATATATATATGTATGTATGTATATATACACACGAAAAGTAAATATGCATACACGCATATAATATACAAAGTAGAGCAGGAAAGGTGGCGGCGTCACGGTTTTAGAATAAGCTAGTCGAGTTCATACCCACACCTCAGTTGCTGACAGAACAACAAATAATCTCTGTGCCAAGGTTTGAATACAGTTAAGATTAGTATTTTTGAATAAGTTCATTAATGATAATTTGATATATTGGTCAATGAAATTCTATACGCAGGTGAGTTACATTTCATTATATAATACGTTTTAATTATTAGCTGAGATTTTAGGGTAACTAGAGGCCTTTATCTGTTTGGGACTTTTTCTCCAGGGATCGTCTAATAAATTGATAGTTCGATGAGTATTTTGTTTTACTGGAAGAATTAGCCTTACATATTAAATAGATTTTAGCCTTACATCCATGGCCAATGCCGAAGGAAGCGGTCCGGTTTTGGCCGGACCAATTCACCAATCAATATCTTTTGCATGCCAAAATTGTCTTTTTTTAACAAAGTTAATCAAAATCATTGTATGACCAGACTTAGCAATTAAATTTGGGCCCTGAAAAAATAAACAAAATAATTAAACAAGTATTTAAAATAATAAAATTCGATGAATACATATTTGATGGAGCAAAGACAAAACTGGTAATGTGCACGGAGTGGTTCCCAGAGTGGTTTGATTAGCAAGAAAGGCCATTACATAGAATAAATAGCGCCAAAAATCGATCACTGGGTGCTTTCCGTTTTTCATTCTTCACTGTGTGCTTCAAACGGAAGCAGGTCAAAACGGCAATAAATCAAAACGACCATGAACCAAAACGACAATGACAAGTACCAAAACGGCATTAAACAATATACAATAATACTATAATATAATACTACCGTACTAGTAGTAATAATAATAATAATTATGATGATGACGATGGTGATAGGACTAATAGCTAATAATATTAATAATTTTAAGTGAAGAAAATTGTGCTAAAGGCGAAAAAATAAGTTGTGATTTGTTCATCATAATTATTATAGTTAAGGATTAATAAGCTACAGTAGTTAGGCCTAAGTTATACTGGATATTAAGTAATCCCTGATAAAAGATCATGAGAAATTTGCGCTTGAGTCATTTTCACTATAATGATGATGTGATGATGATGAATATTTTACTACAGTATATAAAAGTTTCATTTCCGGCCATCTAGAGGTACTATTTCCTCAAATTTTCTCACCTCAGCCCCAACTATGGTGAATCTGAGGTGGTTGTGAAATCACAGCTTTGAAGTATGTAAAGTACGTATACTCAAAGACAATGTTTTTAAGCTTTATTTTCTCTAGTACATCACACATATTAATACGATCTCTATGGTTGCCGAAAATCCCTGATAAAAGATCACGAGAAATTTGTTGGCGCTTCATTTTCAGAATGGTGATGTGATGTTGATGAATTTTACTAAAAATATCATTTTCTGGTCATCGAGGTACTATTTCCTCAAATTTTCGCACCTCGGACCCAACCATGGTGGGTCTGAGGTGGGTGTCGACTCACGAAATGTCCCCCTCCCCAGATTTCACCCTTCCTGGGTATGACATTAAAATCCATTGAGTCGACACCTGACTCAGAGTCTATCTTAGTGACTGCTGATGAGGCGAGAATGCATAAATTTGTTTTTAGGATGTGATCTGGTTTTGCATGCCCATTTTTCGTGATTATGACTATTTTGGTTAAAGAATGTTTTGAGCAGTGTTGGATTCAAGGAGGCGCCCTAATCATAATTTTTTTTTACCTCAGCCCCAACCATGGTGGGGCTGAGGTGGATGGTTCCTCAATCTGTAAATGTCCTGATCACTCTTTTTTTTAATTCCTGGACCCACCACTGTGAGTTTTATATAATAACTGTTATGCTTTATTATTTATGATGCATTTATTGCAATTTTCCCTTTATCATCTCAAAACAGTCCTAAAATCATTCATGGGGCGGGGGGTTCTTTCCAGGGGGATGCGCCCCTGGGCCCCTTCCCCCGGATCCTACGTACCTCGCATAATGCCCCCCCCCCACTTTCAAATTCCTGGCTACGTCCCTGCCGGGGGACGAATGCAGAGTTTTTGGCGGGGTCTATTTAACGAAACTCTTAATGCTCATACATTTTAAACAGACAACGCACGGCACTGTAACGCACAGAAATATATGAAATATTCGAGAAAAAAAATATGTTAAAATCATAAATATTTTATTTCGTTTAAGGTCTATTGGGCATTTCATTAGTCTTTGGTAAAGTATTGACAACAATTGAAAAATTATAAATCTAAAATGTTTCTATGGACCAGGCGTAATTCTAAAACGTGAACTATGTAGTTCAACAAACTTTAAAATATCAAACAAAGAGATCGTGCTGATGCTTCAGTTGCTTTAGAATTTTTTTTTTAAAAGGTATTTTAAAATAACATTCAGAATCAAATTAAACAATGAAACAATTACACAACCAACCAAGAAGTAAGATTATACAAACAACAACTTTATTCAGAAATAATGCTGCTATCAGGCAATTTTTAATTCATTAAAATTAATTATTAATTTTAATAATCTATGCCATGTATTGAAGTGAATGTTGAATTCACCATACATCTTCATTGCGCTCAACAATAGCTTCATCCTCCTCATCCTCATATGTTCTCTTCCTCTACATCCTTACATATTGCTTTGTAAAAGTAACCAACTGAAGCATGAAGTCATAGGATGGATTGTATTTTCAGCTGCTTCATTCAGATTAACACCAATGGATCCCAATAACGACAACAGATCTTTTTGTTTAGCTGGTTTCACGCAACTGGTGTTTATAAGCTTCTGAACGCGCACACCATTCCATGACTAATTACCACGCCTCAGCACAGTATAGTCACAACCAAGTGCTGCATATCTGATTAAAAACTGTAATTAGAGTAGACGTCTGGGTTAATTTCAAGCATTTTGGCTTCAGCTTGGTTGCTTCCTCTCAAGATCATCGGCTATAGCTTTAAAATCATAGGAATTCCAATCTCTGCGGTATACGTGGACCTAACCTACTTGCTCAAACCAACTGTAGTCTTGGGGCAAGAGGATTGTTTCAACATTTTTAGAATTAGGCACTCACTCTTCCGAAAGCTCGGTCGGCCGGCATGTACGAATGCCCACGTATTGGGAAAATATGCTAAAACGTTAGTACATTGTGACGTTTGGCAAGCAGTGTCAGTGCAGTCACCATGTTTTCATTCTGTCCTATGCACGAGTCACTGAATAAAATTACTTTTTTTATACCATGACCTGGTAGGAGGCGCTTACCAAGGTAGTCTCCCAAGGCACTTGCTACCTGATTTGACCCTCTGCCCATTTCTTGTTCCCCCATCCACCAAGTCTCCCGCATTTGGCGGGAGACTCCCGCTTTTCGCCCTAACCTCCAGCTCTCCCGTCACTAGCCTAAAATCTCCAGCTTTTCTAATAATCTCAAGATTTTTTATTAAAACCCACAATTTAATACAAAAATATCCAAAACGTGACAATTCTGTAGTTTTATAAGGCATATAAAATCTACGAAAGTTCTATCGCTTCGCGAAAATACATGCCGTTCCGATAATAAACAATGTATTCGTGTAAAATTAACACTGGTGGCGCTGTACACTTTACGTCATTTCTATTTTAACTTTACGACCGCGATCTCAAGTATCCTAACCATCAAGCTGGCACAACAGTCCATGCCTATGAAACACCAACAGAAATTTTGAAGAAAGTTAAGGGTGCAACTTGGGCATACAACCAGTTACATTCATCAAAAGAGAGCAAATGATGCTTCAGCTTCTCTTTTACACAGATCTCCTTTTCTGTTTAACTTGTTTTACCAAAAGAATTGTTTGTCAAATGTAAAACGTGTAGGCCCTATTTGAGTATTTTGAAAATTTTGTTGAAAAAAATAAAGTTAAGAGTTTTAACACTGAAATAAAGCTATAGAATTTTATTTTTCAAAAAATGTTAGTATATATTACCCCATTTTTAAGATTTAATTTGAGCACTAGAGATCTGCTCAGAGTGCACCAGAG